TTTGGTTGTTGTTGTAGTAACCTCGTTGGACTTCTCCTTGATATTAGTACAGAGCTATCTAATAAAGAGTACAAGTCCCAAAAGTGGACCACAACAAAGCGTGTCTCAAAGGCAACAAGACTAGCTAAAACAAAAGAAAGAGAGAGAACAAACCCAAAACGCCAAGTGCTCGCCCTCGTCTCCGAATCACAGCTGCAAAAGAAGGCTGGAACTAATCACCGCTGGTAACTGGTACTGGGACCTGCATCACCAAATAGATGCAGAGCGTTGCATGAGTACCAACACAACAGGTACTCAGTAGGCATCATAGGCCGACTGAGCAAAAAGGGTAAAAACAATAAGAAAGGATAGAATCTAGACACAGAGAGGTCAAAGCAGATATGAAAAGAAAGCACACGAGCATACCAGAAAGAAACTAAGTACAACTAAACTAAACCTAACTAGAACCCCATATGCCCAGAAGGTACACTCGTGCGCAAGTTCAAATAAAACCTGAACGGACCCCCATAAGCCCGACAGGTACACAGAAAAGCTAAGTCTACTGAGAAAGAAGAAAATCGAGCTCCCAGCCCAAAGTAACTAAGATAATCCATCAGAATCCACCCAGCCAACAGTGCACTCCCAGCCCAGCTAGAAAGAGGGACCCGTGAGTGAGGTAGATATCGCGAGTCGTCCTACCATGCAGCCAGCTCCCAGCCCAGCTAGAAAGAGGGACCCGTGAGTGAGGTAGATATCGCGAGTCGTCCTACCATGCAGCCAGCTCCCAGCCCAGCTAGAAAGAGCACCCGGGGACACCCAGCCAGCAGCACACTCCCATCCCAGCTAGAAAGAGAGGCCCGGGGGAGGTTGCCGATATCACCGAATCTACCCAGCCAACGATACGTTCTCAGCCCAGCTAGAAAGAATGACCCCGGGGGTGATGGTATCTCCAATAGGATCCAATCCAACAACAACCACCGTGGAACGCCGTCCATTCTAAGAAATCACAGAAAAGGCTCCAAGCCTATACCATCTCAATCCCACGCCTCTAGTGATGCGCCAAACCTTCGAGAATGCGTCGGAACCGCAGAATGAGAGGGAGAAGATACAGACGTGCAACAAGCAGCGATAACGCCTAACCTAGACTAAGGACATCATGCTTACGGTTAAGGATGAACAAGGCATACAATATCATACAACCATACTATTGCATTTAGCACATAAGCATGCAACTCTACTAAACCGATTAACATGATACTATACCCGAAATATGGCCAATCGATCCTAGCATGAGGTATCTAATCAAAGCAAGGTAGGAAACTGGTACCCACCCACGATTCATTCCAATCGACATGCGTTTACACAATTAAGCTCAATCTAAAAGAAAGGAAGCCGTAGCCTACCTTAAGGCTGACCGTGAGCGCTCCAAATCACTTTACCGGAGCTTTTCCTTCTCGAACGACCTTTGAACGCTGATGGAACGCTGTCACTCTGTCAAATATAAGATCACAACGTTAGTACGGTCGTTTAGACACCAAAATCACAACAAACGAAGATGGGTCAATTTTGGAGTCAAAACGGGAATCGTGGGATCCGCACCGAACTGTCAGAATTTGACTCCGTCAAGAGACCCTAAACAGCATCCCAGTGTTCCAAAATGGAACACAATTCGTGGCTCAAAACGCAGCAAAAACCAACAAGCAAAAAAATCACACTTTAATCAACCAAAAAAAAGAAAACAACAGCAGTCCAAACTCGGAATAAACGAGAATCGAAAGGTGCCCAGCACTCTTTGAACACTCTACGACGAAGTTACGACAATTCTCAACATGTGGGACTTCGAATCACCCAAAACCGAGCTAAAATGAGAGAGATATGACCAAAACAAGAATGACCAAAAACAAAGGACTCAAAAAAGGGTACAACAGTCAGGTTATCGTGAAATTTACCTCAAACTACGCGCACTCGACAACTTTCGAACACTCTACAACGAAGCCACCAAAAATATGAAGCTCCCGCACTTCGAATCGCCTAAATCGGTTGATGAGAGAGAGATGAGGGTTTAAGTTTTGGGAAATGTTGTTGGTTTTTCTGCAATTATAACAGATTTTCTGCAATTTTCCAAAAACTAAAAACTTCGACGGGGAGCTCCGAACACGTTCAGAACACCGTGCGCGCAAACGAGATATGCAACCATACCAAATTCGATATTCCGGACTCAACAGCGCAGTCGAAATTTCCATCAAAGGTCATCTCGATAAAAAGTGGGTCCCACTTCCAAAAGCCATTTTTAAGTCAAAATCCACAAAAGGGCTCAGAAAGATATCGAAAACCTCGGGACACAAAAGAAGGGTCAATCTAGACCAAACTTGACATTCCAGAGCTAACCGCGCTGACAGAATTTTCATCCGAGTGCGTTTGCTCAGAATGTTGACCAAAGTCAAACGTAGGCTTAAACTTAAAGTTAAAATGCCTAATTGCACCGACTCACACTTAAAACCTCGGGAGTCATGTCGACCATGCTACCAGCCTAAAATGACCTAACCTCAAATGACCCTTCCGGAGCTGATGGAATCATTAGAATTGGATTCTGATGTCATCTTCTTGAACTTTTGATAGAAAATGATCGTTCAAGGTTCATAAGCTCCAAAACACAAAAACTCACACCAAGATCAAACGAACGACCAGGTGACCGAACTGTCAGTCCCAGCAAGTCATAAATGACTTGGGGTCGCTACAGGAACGCTCTAAACGATGAAATGAATTCTTTAATTTAAAAATGAGCTGGAGGGTCATTACAATATCCACTACTAAAAAGGACTTTCGTCCGCGAAAGAAAGGATCAAAAAGTACCTCAAGGCTCAAACAAGCTGGAAAACTGCTTTCGCATCTCCTCCAACGGACCTTAACAACAGGAATGGCTCTCGAGCGCAATCTCCTCACATCTCTGGCTAGAATGGCAACTGGTTCCTCTACAAATGTCAAACGATCATTCAATTCGACTGCATCATACTGGGAGCACATGGGACTCATCAGGAACATATCGCTGCAACATCGAGACATGGAAAACTGGGTGGATGGCTGAAAATGCTGGAGGTAGGGCCAATTCATAAGCAACCTCCCAACTGTCCGGAGTATCTCAAAAGGCCCAATGTACCTGGGGCTAAGCTTGCCCCGCCTCCCAAACCTCATCACGCCCTTCATGGGCGACACACGGAGAAATACCCGATCACCAACAAAGAATCTCAAAGGTCGGCGCCTCCGATCTGCATAACTCTGGTGCCTACTCTGAGCCGTCCTGAGCCTATCCTGAATCACCCTCACCTGATCCAGGGCCTCCTGATGACATTTGCCTTCTCAATCTTTTCCCTGTTGATTATAGTAAACGTGCAAATATTCTTTTGCTTTGGTAGTCCCTCATATTCTCTTTTGATATTTGGACTGTGAGGACACAATCACATTTTTAGTTGGGGGTGCCTCCCTTGTACTCATTTTGTTGATTGTTTCTGAAGACTGTGATTGTGCTCGTTATGGATTAGTGTGCCCTTGTCAGGCTTTGATATTGTGGATGTTTCTATTGATATTGTGTTGGATTGGTGTATTTTAGTTTTTGAGTTGTAGTTTGTAGCTTCTTTGTTTTATTTTATTGTAAGATTTGGAATGACGATGCCCGATGATAGATAAGATTTTCATATGAGTGTTTGATTGGTGTTGATTGTGGCGAAGTTTGAGTAGTTCCCGAATAGATGCATGAGGTTGCCTGTTGATGGATTGGTTGATGACTTTCTTAAGGCTGAAATCATCATCTATTTGGGAACGTTTTAACTTGGTTGGTACTAAGAGCCTATTCATGCATGTGAATAGTATTGAGCATACATCTCCGTTTTTAAAAGGTTGAGCATGTTATGAATGATTTGTGACAACTCTTACAACTCTTTTTGTGACTTTTGATTCGTTGGATTGGTCTATTTTAGTTTTTGATTTGTAGTTTGTAGCTTCTTTGTTTAGTTTTTTTATAATAAGATGTGGATTGACGATGCTCGATGATGGATAGAGAGTGATGTCCTTCTTAAGGTTAAATCATCAATTACTTGTACTTTGATTGGCATTGATTGTGGTGAAGTTTGAGTAGCCGTTCCCGAATAGATGCATGAGGTTGCCTGATGATGGATTGGTTGACGACTTTCTTAAGGGCAAAATCATCGTCATTTTGGGAAGGTTTTGACTTGGTTGGTACTAAGAGCATAGT